TGAACGTCGTCTACGTCGACAACAACACGCAGCACCTCCAGGATTCCTCCAACGCACCCGACCGAAACGAAAACGCGGGTCACCTCGACGTCAAATCCGGGGTGCGGGTGATGCAGGTCAGCCCCGACGGGGAGCATTTGGCATCGGGGGACAGAGGAGGAACCCTCAGGCAAGCGGCGCCGCGCTCGGCCGAAAGACGGCGGCGGTCGGGTTGGCTCTAATCTCGTTTTAGCCGTTTTACCGCGAGCGTCTCCGAGTCCCCTCGCCGCGACGGCGTTCCCGCCCGGCTTCCCCGGTTATCGGGGGGCCGAGCCGACGGTACGCTTCCCTCGCAGGATACACGAGCTGCAGTTCATGCAGGAGGTGGCTAAAGTGGAGGCTCACGATTCCGAAGTTCTTTGCTTGGAGTATTCCAAGCCGGAGACCGGTAAGGCTTCATCCTGGTGATGCCTGAAAATAGCCGCCGGATAAATCCTCCGGCATTGCCGGCGAGCCTCGCAGCTCGGCTTCCCGGCTCTTACCGGTGGGAAAGCTTCTCCGTCACCAAACGAGCTGAAGCATCCTGAAAAACGAGCTTTGCCAGGAAGGATTTTTCCTCCAAGAAGCCACCGGGAGCTGGAGACGAGCCCCCGGGGCAGCGGGTGCAACCACCTCCATTTTCTCTCCCGCTTCGAACCAGTTTACAGCAAAATTTTTACAGGGACCGACAGCGAAACCACCGTTTTGTTACCAAAAAACCCTTCAGCGCGGCGCTGTTTTAACCCCCTCTTTTCCAGGAGCAGCGCTGCTGGCTTCGGCGAGCAGAGACAGGCTGATCCACGTCTTGAACGTAGACAAGAACTACAAGCTGGAGCAAACCCTGGACGATCACTCCTCCGCGATAACGTCGGTCAAATTTGCCGGTAGAACCATTTTTTTAATGGATTCATTCATAAAGAATCATTTTTCGGCTTCACTCGGTGCTGAATTTGGAACGGACGCCATCTCTGATCGCCTTTCCCTGTGCTCTCCTCCCTCAGGCAACGGGGACATTCAGCTGATAAGCTGCGGCGCCGATAAAAGTATTTATTTCCGCAATGCTCAAAAGGCGAGTTAGCGGCGTCTCCGCGAGGATTTGCTATTTCTCCCCGAAAATCGGCCGGGCGAGAAGGTAACGCAGCTCTCCCCGTTTCCCT